AGAGAGAGAGAGAGAGAGAGAGAGAAAGAGGGGGGGTATAATAATATAAAAAATAGATGAGAGGAGAATAGTGAGTGTATTTACAATAAAAATGAATTAGTCTGAATTTCTGTGACTTATCAAGTTGGATCAAAGTGGAAGTGATCACACAATGTCTAATTTTGCTAAATCCCACAGGGAATCTCATAATGACGTTTGCCGTTACAATGGATTAGTAGTAGCGAGATGAAAGAAAACCAAACTTGCGATAGAGCTGACTTCACGTAGCACGCTTTAAAATTGATTAATGTCCCTTTATGATAAAAAAAAAGGCAAAATACTGGATACGAACAAGCTCAAAAGATCCCGTATCATGTTGCGCTATGATGTGAATGATCCTGCATTGATTCTTTAGTGTTCGTAAGAGTTTTACGGCACTTGCAACACAATAAGGTTTTTATAAGTGCCGAAGATTAGAGGTGTTACAAGAGAGTTACAAACAAAAAATAGAAGGAGGAGAGATACGGACGACAGATGTTTAATAGAAAAGAAGGAGCAAGCCACACCAGAGCACACGCCAATCACATAGTTTGATTCCTAAACAGGACGTTCCCGAACTTGGGTTGTTTAGTGGGATTTTAAGTGTCTAAACCAGGGATTTCAAGCTGAATCGCTCATGGGGGCTGAACTCAAATTACACTAGCGGGCTTAATTCTGGGTAAACATTGATTGAACTGTTGTAAACTACCCTTTTTTTAAAGACAGTAATATGACTTTAAAGAGATAAAAGTTAAAATAATAACGTATCAAATCACACCAAAAAGATTCCACCCCCAAAAAAGCAACAACAACAAAAACAAACAAAACGACAACAACGACAAAGTAATATCAAGTCCAAAGCCAAGGATTCACGAAATCTGCTCACGTTTATTACTGGATAATCTCTAAATCCAATCAGGGGCACACGTCGCATTTGCCCCTTGACCCTGTTGACAGAATCATTAAGTAACAACCGCCAGCTGTATGCGTTGGCTTACAGGTCATGGTCTACTCTAAGGGTCCCTTTACACGTACACGGTTCATTCTTCGACAAACTGGCTGTTTAACCGACGGACACTAGATCTGGTTCATGGTTAAACTGACAGTATGTCGACGAGAGAAGTTCCGTTTAGACGTATAGATCTTTTTATCGTTAAAGTGTCAGTCCTTGACAAAACACACAAAACACACCAAAAACAAATAACTTGGTAACCCAGCATTAATTTGTATTCCCCGCGTGATTTTGACTAATTTTGGGTTGCTGATCACGAAAATCTTTTTTTTTTTTTAAATTTGACTAATATTTAGGAAAATTTTGGAATACATTTTCAACTCCGTCTGGGGCAACATCAAAGAAGCCACTCCCTCGTCGTCATGCCTTCAGTTCGCCGGCCGGCAAATATCTGGCGTCGCCAGATATCTGGTGGCTGGACTGAGAACGTTTCGATATCGAGAGAATTGCTCGTTTCCCCGCTCAGTTTTACCCGAAAGTTGACAGGATGCCGGTCATTGTTTCGATATTCTACAGTTTGTCGATAAAAGAACTGTACGTGTAAATGGGGCCTTAGGTATTGAATAAGCGCCCTGGGACAAACTTTCCTCCAGGTAAACATTATTGACCTTGCTAGATGATGACTGGGAATATACCACATTTCATCATGACTGGAAATATACAACATTTCACCATGACTGGGAATATACCACATTTCACCATGACTGGGAATATCCCACATTTCACCATGACTGGGAATATATCACATTTCACCATGACTGGGAATATACCACATTTCACCATGACTGGGAATATATCACATTTCACCATGACTGGGAATATATCACATTTCACCATGACTGGGAATATACCACATTTCACTATGACTAGGAATATATCACATTTCACCATGACTGGGAATATACCACATTTCACCATGACTGGGAATATATCACATTTCACCATGGCTGGGAATATACCACATTTCACTATGACTGGGAATATACCACATTTCACCATGAGTGGGAATATACCACATTTCACCATGAGTGGCCTCTACATAGGAGGGGGAAATGGATAACGTACGAGATTCTGGTCTTTAATGAAAAACGTGCCTACATATGAAAATTCGATGGCAACAAGGCTAGAGGGTGACAGAGAAAGACGTGGAAAGATGGAGTCAGGACAACACTAACCACTCACGGAATCCCTCTGACCGTCTCTTTCTTCCCGTGACACCCCAAAAAAGTATAAGCGGCCGATAAAAGTTTTAAAAAATGAAGAACCAGAGAAGCCCAGACGTGTTGATATGAGGACAGTTAGCATAGAATCCATGGACGACCAAGGTATGAATTGTCAGGCTTTTCATCTTTGCAAGTTTGAAATTGGGTATCCCCGTCTAACTGCAAGGAAGAATTTTACATTCCACCCAGCCTGGATTGGCCATGGCAGAAAGAAGCAAAGTAGGCAGCTTCTTAAATAGTCTGAATTGTGTCGACAAAGATGAAAAACATTCACAACGAAAATTTGTTTACATTCTCTCATTTAATTAATTTTTTTTTTGGGGGGGGGAGAAAACACGTATATACATTGTAGACCTATCTACACACGCACACACACACACACACACAC